AATAGTACATTCTTTACAAAACTATTGGATAATTGGTCGCCCGCAATTGCTCAAAGACTATAAATGGATGTGGCGACTTCCACCAGAACATCATCGTGCAATACATTATTAATGCATTGGAGATGCCTTGGTAACCGTACTCTTTGTTATCTAGTCAGAAACGGCTGCCGAGAGGGAGGCAAGGGGTCATCCCATTGGCCAGCCCTGTCCTTATCAGGCAATGGGCGGCATAACTGGCTTCAGTTCATTGGCTATCGGTATGGCTAGAATTGATCCAAGCGGGGCAGCCCATGGTACTCTAACGGAGGCGGAACTAAATGCACCGATTACGGACAACGATCACCCGTTTCTACGCATGCACAAGGCAACCATCGAGGAATACGAAAGACAGAAGGCACAAGGTAGTACTTTGTTGAACACTCTTTAATCAGACCTTTTACCGCGACTGTGCCCACTTCGCGCCCAGCGAACAAAAACTTGCCGAACGCTGCCCTATGTATGCCGGTGGCGAGCAGAAATTAGGCCTGATTAAGGGGCGCAAATGAGCAATTTTTTCGTCTTTGATCCCAGGATCCGCAACCCGAGCAGTAGATCGCACGTCAACTATTATTCCTCAGTCGAGGAATTGTAGTTGTTAAAATCGGACGCACTGGATAATTGTAGCTAGCATATTTATTGTGCAGACTGGAGTTAAGGTAAAACTGGCAGACGGCGGTATACTGACACATTTTACTACCGTCAATAGCCTTGAGATATTAGTTATTTTCGTCAAGTGATAGGCCCGTTTAGATCCTACACTGGTAACCCCAACATGATTCAGTGTAAAACTATGCGGATCTTGCTTTCCAGGAACAAAATTAGTATCACCGGGCTTCGGTACCGGTCAAACGAAAAGTAAAAATAAGGCCCGTCATGGCGGCTGGATCTTAACAGTAAGCCGAAACTGTGTAAAGGTGGACAGACATTCGTAGCACACTGATAAAAAGTGCTTTGTATCAGTACAACGTCAAATGCCGCGAAATTAATCACTCCAATATTCATGATTTTGTACGAAAAAGCTCTCGCGGACTCAACTTTTTAATCTCCTGTGTAGTTTATACTGTCATGCACTATCACTGTCTTCTCCATGTGGATGACCAGGTCGGGGTTCGGACGGCTCAGAATTGTAGTAAATCTACCATAACTCTCAAACCGA